TTTCCTTTGTCCTTTCTCAGTTCATAGCAAAACCTAATTCCCCAGAAAAGAGTCCTCCTGAGTGCAGAAATAGTTCAGGGAAGACTTTGCAGTCCAGCCCCAAGTTCTGCATGAATGTCAATCTCTGCAGATCGGGGGGGGGGGAGGGGGGGCAGATCTGTGCCTGGGGTGAAAGCCAGGGCTACCAATCACTGGGCTCCCTCACTTTACAGCACTGCCCCTAAGGAAGCTGTTTAGATCACCCAGGCCTCAGTAGCCAGTCAGGACCTCCAGATGGACTGCCAGTCAGAATGGGGAGGGTACTTCCGGTCCGACCTGCAGCTTAGTCTGTGGCTTGGTGGTTAAAGGTGGATCTCCTCTTCTGTGTACTAGGCTGTGACTGCCTGCTGGAAAGGGCAGCTTGGCTTTTTGTGAATTGGCGAAGTTTGTTATCAGATAGGAGAAGGCTGTTGGCAGTGACCCTAACAGTCCCTTCTCTGGAAATTCTGTTGTATCCTGGAGAGCCCTTGGCATCTTTGTGAAATCACCAGTGTTGTGGCAATGTCAACTGCCCTTGAGGCATTCATTAAGTGCGTATAGGGTTCACCAATTAACATGTTGGCAAGACTAAGCATACTGACTGGAAAAGAGGTCTTTGGTTTTTTGGGAGGAGTTGAGGCCAGAACTGGATCTTCTAGTAATGGGGATCAGTAGCTGTAATCATCTGAAGCCATGGGCCAATGCTGCTTATCTTGGTTCCTAAAGAGCAGATCCAATGTGGAGGATTTCTGATGGTAAGTTGGCTGAGGGCCAGGAATGGTCAAGGATGCAGTGCTGTGCTGGGACCTTTTTCAGTTCATTCTGACTGTCAAAGAATGCCAAAGGAGGCACAGAACCACTAATGAGGCATCAGGGTAGCACGTTGCTTCACTTTATTCTCAGTGGATTTCTGTAGGTTTCATGGATATTTGATATAAATACCAGAGAGTAAAACTTTCCATCCATGTTCCCAGGTCTGAGACATTCAGTTGCTTTTAGTCCTGCACACAGGTTATCAGGCAGGGAGGTACAAAGCACCAGGCAGTCCTGGACTTTCTTGCATCACATCAGGTATTGGCTGACCATTCAAAACCAACATGACTGGCCTTGCTTATGCCTTTCAGAGACAGTGGGGCTGCAGTCGGGCCTGAGGCATATATCTATCCTCAGAGATTGGAGACAGACACATGGCTTATGATCCCCAGTTTAAGGATAGCTGCTCTGATTTTTGAGGGGTTCACTGGGTGCCATGCATTTCCTCTTCCTCATTTCTCCTCT